TGCTGAAACAAGATCCACTGCGGATTGGATGCGCAGTAAGCTTAGGAAGTTAGAAAAGCGTACTAAAGTAGGTCTCATTACCACTACATAATGTAGCGATAAGCTCCAGACGCGATTATCAGTCATTAATTAAGTGATCAGTGTTTGGTGACAGTGCAGTGTAAGTGAACTTCGTAAATAACCATACCAGAGGTTCATCCGACAGTATCCCTCACATGTTGCTGTCATCGACCTGGGATCAGCTGTACGTTGTACGAGGTCAGTGCCCTTCGACATCGTGAGCCACAATTTCAGCCAGCAAATATTTCCTCAACTAAATGGATGAGTTTCTTATCTATAATATTTTTCATATTTCTCTAATAAACAAATCCTTTACGTCCCTTAACGCGATTATTTATTATTAAATTAGCTTTGCGAATAATTCGTTGAATTCTGTTTGGATATGGAATTATTTAAATTAAAATATCATTTACGAACTTTGTTAATCTTCACTGTACACCTTGCATAAAAATTTCATATGGTGTCATGCACACCAGAAAATTAAAACGGCTGTCACGGTTAAACTACATATTATTTCGGGTCCGAAAAATTAGTAAATATTCTTCAGACATTCTAAAGTAAAGGTGAACAGCGTTCCTCTTAAAAATATCACTGTTACGTAGTAAAAAAAATCCGGAAAGTTCACGCTTCGTAACTTGTTCAATACTTCGAACGCTGCTCGAGTCCATCCCGACTTTCTGTCAAAGCCTCCTGTTGCGGGCTCTTGAACTTCGCACCGTCACCTCTCATTGGTCAGTGTTCTTCGTTAATAACTCGTAAACTAAGCCGCAGATTGCATTTTCGCAAAGGAAAAAGTTACTGCAAATGACCTCAGCTACCCCTCATTTTCGGCTGTTGAAGTAATTGTGGAACACCCTGTATACGGTACAGGGAACATCGTCCACTGTTTACCCTGGTATTTGGACCCGGGAATCAAACTTTATCGTTATGAGAACGTCGTGTGGGTTATTTTGGACCGTACGTTGATGAGGAAATTTCCGTGAGTCCAGGTAATTTCACCAAGGCTGGACAGTCCCGGAAATTCGCCGTGCGAAGCCCTTGCAATTAGCTCATTTGGGGGTAACCTCATAAGGTTTAGTACAATCTTTCGAAAGGTGAGGTCCAGCACATTTCACACATGTTGGGGACAGATTAGAGTTGGCGGAAGAATGGCCAAAAGCTTGACACCTATAGCACTGAGTGTGTTTGGTCCTGGACATAAATTTGTCCCAGTAAATTCTGGTCCTGAAGAGAAACTTAATTTTGAAAACATCCTGCACGGAAGTACCCATGGGGAAGTTAACACGGAAGGTGTTTATGTCTTTAATAAGGTAACAGGCTGTCGGAGTTAAACCCTGCGCTTGGATTTGCTGAGTAAGTTCCGCAGGAGTATAGTAGGGTAGCTCTTTTAAGACCATCGGTAAGGTTTTTTCGTTTTCAATGGAAAACGTTAAGTGTGGGATATTTTTGGTTTGCAATCCCGATTTAAGTTCTTTAAAATCCTCCATCGTGGTTAATTGTATTCGAACATTGTTTTTATTAAATTTAAGCGTGAAATTATTATTGCCAAATGAGCCTGTCAGTTCTTTCTCAAACCTGGCAAGCGGATACTTAAAGTTGTGTACATAAATCAGAGACGGTTTGTCCGATGTGTTGGCCGAGGTCGAGACTGATTTCCGAGGAATGTCATCGGAAACATTATTATTGCCAACATTTTTGTCCATGTTGTATTTACTGTCGAGCCGTGTACTTAAAGAGGACGCGACGTTATTGATACCAAACATTGTTTTGATCCGACAGTGAAAAACGAAAAATGGTTATGAACTGATATGTTTGAAAGAGCAGGAAAGTTAACACATCGAAGACATTATCTTTAGTATTACCATGAGTTTTATGAGTAACTTTGTTCTGACTGTTACGCCCGGCTTGAAATTTGGAACTATTTTTAACTGGAGATTTCTTGCTGGTACCAGCAGGAACCAAAGTTTTCGTGCTTTGACAGCAGGGTCATTGAGAAATGCGAATGGAAATTCAGTTTTAATTCTGTAGGGAATTTTGTGTCGATCATAAGTCCCTATGCTTTTTTTTATTACGTAAAAGTGATATTTTTAAGAAAAACGCTTTTCACCTCTACTTTAGAACGTCTGAAGAATATTTACTAATTCTTCGGACCCGAAATTATATGTAGTTTAACCGTGACAGCCGTTTTAATCTTCTGATGTGCATGACACCTCATGTGTACCATATGATATTTTTATGCAAGGTGTACATTGGAGATTAACAAAGTTCGTAAATAATATTTTAATTTAAATAATTCCGTATCCGAACAGAATTCAACGAATGATTCGCAAAGCTGATTTAATAATAAATAATCGCATTAAGGTACGTAAAGGATTTGCTTATTAGAGAAATATGAAAAATATTATCGATATGGAACTCACCCATTTAGTTGAGGATGCATTTGCTGACTCGTACGCGCTGACCTCGTAAAACGAACAGCTGATCTCAGATCGATGACCGCAACATTCGAGGGATACTGTCGGAGGAACCTTTGGTATGGTTATTTGCGAAGTTCACTTACACTGCACTATCACCAAACAGTAATCACTTAATTAATCACTGATAATCCGAATCACTTGTGGATATTAAGAAAGATCACTGAGACTGGTTCGCGGATAATCGTTTATTCGACGCGTTCGTTCAGGAGTCGACGTTTCATTGCCGAAAAGTTAAGGCCTTGACTGTGGGCCCTTGTTCGTCGTTCGATCGTCCGAGGAAATGACACCCGATACCATTTTCTTCGAACGGCCGTTAATTACGTTCTAAAAGCGCTGGGTACCGTCGGTGACAGCGGGTCGTCCGTAGTTTACGTCTCTGCACATCTGGTTTATTTTATATGGCCGTACCCTACGCTTTTGGCCGTTGAAGGCCGGCGAAGGTTGTTGTATTGATTCAAGGACTTCACCCAATAAATCATGGACTCAGTCTCACATTCTTTACTTAACATGATTGGACACTACCCGCATGCATTTTCGGGATAAATTCCCACGATTCTGTTAACTATTTCTGCGGTCGAGTTTTGACGTGATTTGGATGGAGTGGAACGATATTTGATGAATCTTTGTCAGCTTCATTGTCAGAGATCTGAGTACAGCATGTCTGCTACGGCGATCGTCTCGGGGCGTTAGGGGGTACGAGGCAGACCTCGATTGACCCTGTGACTATGGTAGTCAGACTCAGTGTGATCTCAGCATGCATTCGAACTCCTCCTCCCTGAGACTATTTCCCTTATTTTGGGGGCCGAACAATTGGCCCAACTGGACCAATGACCCTTTTATGTACCCCATCTGGTCTGGGAGCCCTGCTCCTTCAAGTTTTCCCGCTGCCACATTGAGTTCGTCGGCTGATACCCCTACCTCTTCCTCTGACCAGGGGAGAGGCCACTGCTCCAACCGGACGTCAAGGTACCTTGCCAACCTTTGTCAATAACCTTAACAAACCTTACGATTGCATTAGGAAAAGTCCCATTAAGAAATAATAAAAAATAAAGAAGTTACACATTGCGTTATTATCTATCCTTCATTTGCTGTTATTTTCTGCGTTCAGTGCCGGAAGACAGTTGGAGACAATGTTGAGTCTTCTGACTACAGGGCGTCTCAGGTTGCCGATTGAGACAATATACAGTGGTCCACAAAAGTGTTCGTCGCTCCGCATGAACATCATCTGTAACATACAAGTAAAAATTAATAACCTGTCGAGACATTTAATAATACATAAATTCGCATAATTTCGTATACTTACCGGGTCGAAGTTGTGTTATCGTATGACACGCAACTCCCCGTCGATCTTATAAATTATTCTATGCCAGTGGATTAACAGCACTATGGAGTTTATACAGGTGAAGGGAATCTAAAAATAATAACATTATAACTGTAATAATCAGCGAAGACGCACACAGAGTGTGCGACCCGACATTGTGTTGGGATTCTAGAGCTATTCTAATGATACGCGAACTAATTACTATTGGGTTTTTATATTCTATTTCTATGGCTTCTCAAATTGGCATACTTCTATTATAGTGGCTGTCCACTATTTCAGGCAACATACAATGCTGCTGTCTGCTGCCAAAATTTGTCGTCACTGTATACTTTAACTGATTTCACACCCTTTGGTGCCCACACACACAAGAGACAATATTGTTTATCTAATATATGTAGTTGTCCTAGTACTTGATAGAAAGAGTGATGCGTTTTGCGCAATGCAGTACCTGCATCATCCTCAAATATTCTTCGTATTAGTGGAATCTTTTTTTATCGCTTCTTCTGGGGATAAATTTCCTGCCGTCTCTTCGGGCATTTAATTCCCTCGAAATGTTATTTCGGCATCGATGAAGAGACCGGATTTGCGGATTTCAACACCTTTCAGCTTTGAAAGTTGTTCTCGATCAATATCCTCACACTACCGACGATATTCAATGACAGTCAAATCCAATACTTTTGGATACAGCAGTGACTTTACCAAATTTCCACAGTTCGTCTTTTTCATTCGCCGACAGACTTTGCCAAAGTTCAACGCTGTAAGTAGTTTCGATCGGTGTGTATGCCACTTTAGGCTCTTAATTTCTTCTACGTATTCTTTTCAATTTTGTTTCTATTAATCTGCCAATCGTGCAGCATCTCCATGTGTCTTTCTTTTTCAAAGTTAAATGTATGTTGCTCCATGTCCGGCTTCTCTGCGCTAGCTCCATAATCCGGGTCCTTCATTGAACAAAACGGCTTTAGCACCTTCTTCGAAGAATTTGTATTCTTTTTCCGATTTTTTTCATTTTTGTCTTTCCTTTGTTTTTACATTTTTTTCTACNTTCTACGTATTCTTTTCAATTTTGTTTCTATTAATCTGCCAATCGTGCAGCATCTCCATGTGTCTTTCTTTTTCCAAATTGATCCTTTGAGCGCTGAGTTGTGCGACGTTAAGCGTTTGCTGTGGGCTGCCCACTAAATACTACAAAGCACATGCTGGGCTGCCCTTTTATTACGACGAAACACTTTCTGGGCTGACTGAAATTTTATTGCAAAATATGCTGATTGTAATTAAAATAATTTGAATAGTGACTGAAAAAACAACAAAACCATTTATTTCATTAAACAATATTATCATGAACAATATAAAAAGTATTAAATCATATCATTTAAATTGAAAATTTAATAATTTTGTGTCGTGCGATAAATCTCGAAGAAGGGTTCAATACATAAGCCAATGTTACACTTTCTGCATTCATGGCGCGAACCAATCCTTAGATTATGTTTAGCTCAAACAATATATCTTCGCCGTGAAGGACCTTCATTATTATTTTTTTTTTAATTAAGCAGGATGCAGGGAATTGTCTCTCCGTTAACCGAAATGGAAGGTCGTCCGATTGAACTCTTCCTTCTTTAGCCTCTGCTCTGCATGGTGGACATTGCTGTAAAATATCTTTTATGAGAATTAGATGAAATTTTTCGGATGTTTAAGTTGTATTATTAACACTTTTGTGAAGAATATATGCATTATACATATACATATCTACATATCTGCAATAGCAAGAACTTAATTCCCGAGAACCAATACGGATTCAGAAATCGCCACTCCACGACTCACGCGATCAATCTTGCCCTAAGTAACGGTTCCTGCGTGGGAGCCTGTCTAGTTGATCTTGAGAAAGCCTTTGATACAGTTTGGATAGACGGATTAATTTATAAATTAAAACGTAAAGAATTTCCCCTCATCCTAATCAAGTTAATAAAAAACATGATCACAGATAGATCCTTTAGAGTATGTTTATCAAACAACATTTTTTCATGACCATTCAAAATACCGAATGGCCTCCAACAAGGCACCATAAATTCATCGATATTGTTTAATATATTCACGAGCGACGTCTTAAATCTATTTGGCCCGAATCGAACGAAATGCTCCATGATAGTCCTCCAAAACGCAATGGACAGTATCTTTACGTATTATAAATCCTGGAAATTAAAGGTAAATACGGATAAATGCGAGACTGTATTGTTCAGGCCCACTCTCAAAGGAGCAATGTGTTACCAGCTGAAAAATCTCAAATTCTTCCATCTCATAGGCAACCGACAAACTGGGGCAAAAATCCCACACAAGGAAACAGTAAAATATTTAGGCCTAACTATAAACAATAGATTTTTATTAAACAATCACCCGCAAATACAGCTTCAAAAAGCGAGAAAAGCCTTTGGTGCATGCGCGAGGTTATTCCACTCCCGCACACTTACCAAAAAAGCAAAACTAATCTGCTACCAACTCCTAATCAGACCCATCATAACGTACGGTTGCGAGATATGGTACAACATCGCCGCCTCCATAATGGAAGAAATATGCATTTTCGAAAGGCCGATGCCTAAGAGCTTGCCTCGGGCTTTACAAATCGGCCCACTCAAACTACACAAGAAACATAAGCAACGAAACCATATACAATAAAGCTAACATTAATAGAATCGATAATTTCATAGTTAAAATAACACGAAACTATTTTGCCAACACAAAACAAGTCACAAACAATAGCTTAATATTCTCTACAGCGCACCCAGACGACAATTACATGGTAAAAACCCTGACAACAGGTTTCATACCTCCAGTAGCATTCGTATACCTGGACAAATTAGGATACATACAAAACAGAAGTGGGGTTCCGGTACTGTACCATATCCTGCGCCGCAGAGGAAACAAACGCATCGGACACACACCACAGGAGCATGATCAAATTACACTTGAATTAGGATACCGATATAGCGCAGAAATTACAAAATTAGATTATAAGAAATACTGGTGGTTAGCCGATAGATTTTAAGACACTGTAGTTATCTGTAAAGTGAGCAAGTTCATCTGTTATTGTAGCTATTGAACTGCCACTTATCACCGCTACCAAAGAGTCAGGTGTAATTTTTAAGGGAAACGATGATCTTGACGATAGTTCCTAAGATAATAAAAAAACCGGGGGGGGGGGAATCTCGTTTTATACCTCTCAATGTTTCCCTCAACATTTCGTTTTAATTTAAAGACACATTTACATGTGATAATGTTCTTATCCTTTTTTTTTATTTAACGTGGAGGAAATCTGCTCTCCAGACACCCCCGCTCCGCTCGGGGGAGCGGGGCTTGGGTAGTGTGGGGTTTGATCCACTAAACCTGCACGGCGACCTAAGGACGCTCTGAACCACATCTGGCCATTCAAACCACATTTGGGAGCCATGCGAACTCTTGTAGAACACTACCGCGGCTCCCCCTCGCCAGGGCCGGCCATCAAGATGGTAGCGATGGCCGACCGCGTCCCGGGGGGAGATAAATCCTCCCCCCTTCAAAAAAAAAGAATGGTGCCAACAGCACATGGTGTTCCCAGGCGATCACCCCCATCCAAGTACTAAACACGCTCAACGCTGTTTAACTTCGATGATCGGACGAGAATCGGTACTTTGCAACGTTTGTTTATTTGTTTGTAAAGTGTTTATTTAAAGGGCTTATACAATTTAACAATTAATACTATAACTAAAAATAAACAAAAAGTTTTTAATAACATTGGTATATCTCTCTTATAAGTACTAATGTATATATGCACATATTAGTGGTAAACCGTTATTGCGTTTGTCACGAGGAGTGGTGACAGCCTATCCCTCGTAATGTTCTGCTTACATTAATGCACGGTTCACAGCCGTAAGTGTTTGGTCTTTGGGCTCTTGTTCCCGAAAACGGCCTTAGCAAAAATAGGAACTTTCGTTAATGGTCCTTAATTCTAAGTTTTAAATCTAGGTCTTAAATTTAAGATTTGTACATATATACAGTGACAGGGGGCGTGGGATGGTTTAAATGCAATAAGATGATGATGTTATTTACAAATGATTTAGATGATATGGGTGAAGATTTGAGTGAAATGGAATATGAAGTGGTCAGGAGAGGGGGGCGGGGGTCGAGGAACGCTCGTGTATAATTGATTTAACGTCTAATACAGTTCTTAGAAGCTAGCTTTGGGATCGACGACCTTCATGTCGGAGTTATACGTAGTTCTTTGGCAATGTGTGAGACAGCAGTTCAGTAACATGAACGTGCTCTTGTTTTAGGTATCCGGAGTAAAAGCCTTGAGTCTTTTACTTATATTTAACTTAAATTTTATATAAGGTTGATAAAATATTAATTTATGCGCTACGATGGCCTTAATCTATCGCTTAGCCACCAGTATCTCTTATAATCTATATTCTGAATCTCTAGGCGGTCCCTTTGTGATACCGCTGTGCTATATCGATATAGGTGTGGAGAAGGTTGATTATGCTCATGGGGACTGAAGGATACGCACTTTCTTCCTCTGTGGCGTGGGATATGGTAGAATATTGGTACTGCGTCTTTGTTCTGTAGGTATCCGTGTTTGTCTAAAAATATGAATGCTTCCGGGGGAATAAAACCTGTTGTTAATGACGTCATGATGTAATTGTCTGGGTATGCTATCGGAAAAACTAGACTATTGTTTCTGACGTTTGCTACGTTGTGAAAGTAGTTTTGTACTAATTTAATTATAAAATTGTCAATTCTCTTGATACTAGCTTTGTTGTATATGGTTTCGTTGCTTATGTTTCTTGTGTAGTTTGAGTGGGCCGTTTTGTAAAGCCCGAGGCAAGCTCTGAGGCATCGTCTTTCAAAAACTCGTATTGTTTCCATTATGGAGGCGGCGATGTTGAACCATACCTCGCAGCCGTACGTTATGATGGGTCTGATTAGTAGTTGGTAACAGATTAGTTTTGCTTTTTTTTGGTAAGTGTGCGGGAGTGGAATAACCTCGCGCATGTACCAAAGGCTTTTCTCGCTTTTTGAAGCTGTATTTGCGGGTGATTGTTTAATAAAAATCTATTGTTTATAGTTAGGCCTAAATATTTTACTGTTTCCTTGTGTGGGATTTTTGCCCCAGTTTGTCGGTTGCCTATGAGATGGAAGAATTTGAGATTTTTCAGCTGGTAACACATTGCTCCTTTGAGAGTGGGCCTGAACAATACAGTCTCGCATTTATCCGTATTTACCTTTAATTTCCAGGATTTATAATACGTAAAGATACTGTCGATTGCGTTTTGGAGGACTTCTTGCACCTTTTCAGGTTTTTCCCCTGCGTGATATACTATCAGGTCGTCTGCGTAAGCTATCATGGAGCATTTCGTTCGGTCCGGGCCAAATTTATGGTGCCTTGTTGGAGGCCATTCGGTATTTTGAATGGCCGTGAAAAAATGTTGTTTGATAAACATACCCTAAAGGATCTATCTGTGATCATGTTTTTTTTATTAACTTTATTAGGATGAGGGGAAATTCTTTACGTTTTAATTTGTAAATTAATCCGTCTATCCAAACTGTGTCAAAGGCTTTCTCAAGATCAACTAGACAGGCTCCCACGCAGAAACCGTTACTCAGGGCAAAATTGACATCTGAGGACAATTTGTTGATCGCGTGAATCGTGGAGTGGCGATTTCTGAATCCGTATTGGTTCTCGGGGATTAAGTTCTTGCTATTGCAGATATGTAGAATTCTATCGTTGATAACGCGTTCATAGACTTTTCCTATATTTGGTAGTAAGCTAATTGGGCGATAGCTATCCGGTGAAGAAGGGTCCTTGCCTTTTTTAACAATAGGAATGGTTTGTTAAACAGT